ATTTACGGTTAATTAAAACGTCATTTATATCCGTAAATAAAATGTATATTAAATTACAATATACTTAATTTTTCAGTTACTACAAACTTAAATCTCGATATGAGCACATTAATAGTCCTTTTACTTATAAAGAATTTAAATTTCATTCATGAGTGACATTAAAAGTCAATAAAATATAAGAACATTTCTAATAGGTGTAGATAAATTTGAAAATAATTTTGTTAAATTGATAAATTAAATACATATATAGGAAACTCAAACACACATGTGACGAGCAATGCTGCCAAAAGTTTTAATAACACTTTAAGTGTTCTATACTTATATTATTATTTTAATAGTCCAAAAATTGTTTTCAGATTTATATTTAACTGAACTTTAGATGTTTTAACAAAATCATTTTTTCCACTGAAAAATATCGATTGCGTTTGACATCGAATATATCCGGTAAACGCAACGGCTAACGGTATAAACTAGAGAGACGTGATTGACTCTATCGGATCTGGGGGTCACAGTGTTAACTTCCTGAAATATATCTCCTCATCGAGACGCCTAGAGGAGCGCAGAAAGCGATGTGTCTCCAATTATCTGTAATGATGTAAAATTGCGCGGCGATAATGGGTCGAGTGGCGTGCAACAAGGTCGGGAGACACATGTTCCCTATTAATAGCCGTGCGTCGTTTTTATCGTCGCGAGAGAGGCGACTGCACGAGAGGACCACGAGGATTCGAAGAAGAAGAGGACGAAGGAAGAGAGACGGTGGCGGCGCGCGGTTCCCGTCAGAGTTAAATACGCCTCTTTTCTTTCTCTCTTCTTTCATTTTTTTTTCACAGGCCGCGGCCATCCGCTAAAGACAATACCGAAACTACGCTCTCTCGCGTCGCCCATCCGTACGGCGACCTCCCTCTATTTACATCGGTCGCGACGATTATTCTTACCACCCGCTCGCTTTTAACGCCAGCTGTGTCGGGCGTCGCTCTTTTTATCCGCGCTCGATTTAACTAACGATAAGATGTAACGCGGGCGGTTATTTCGTGTATGGTATATCTTGCCGTCGTGAAAAGCTCCGTCTTGTAAGCTCGACTTGTCGGATTTTCACGACTACATTTCACTTTCGATTCTCGTTTGAAAAACTAGCGAGATCGTTCTCTCGCGATCTAACGAGATCACTTTTAATCGCTGAACGTAAAACTGAGGATACTCAATAAAGGAACGATCATTACATTCCTCTCGTGAATTTGACTCTCCAGTTTAAAAAAAAGGATACGATAGTTCTACACGGAAAGAACAGTTTTATTGAAGAGTATCTAAAAATTTAGCTAGAAAAAGATCTAAGAATAATTTTATTGGATTAAAAATAATTATGCAGAATTTAAATGTTGATAATATTGCAAAAAGTTTCAACATTCAAGTAAATATAGTTTAAGCGTTTTAAATTATTTGGATGATCAAATCAAATTATTTTCAAATTTAAATCTAGTTAGATTTAAATTTTTAGATTCAAATCATTCTCATTCCGTGTAGTACTCTATGTACGTGCGTATATTTTTTATATTCCACGATTATTTTATTTGGGTCCAAAAAGTATTAAATTACTATTTCACATTATTGTTAAAATCCTCGTAACTGTAGCAATCAATTGTACTTACTATCTAACGCAATGCAGTTATCGTGCAGTGACAAGATGTCAAAATTTACGGCGAGTCTTCTCATCGAGTTATCGTACTTGAAAAGAAGTAGCTGGGAAAAATATTGGCCAACGAGAGAATTGCGTGGGGCGCATTTTAATTGGATTTTTTTTTTGTATTCGCGATGCTCCGTTCGCACGTGCCTTACAGATCATGCTGATGAACAAAAGGAGTACATTGCGTTACAATGTATTCATAAAACGCCAACACTCTTAAATTTGTATCGCCAAAAATTTGAGATACACGTTAAAGTAAAAGCTTCAACGTAAATTACAAGAGACACAAGTACCATCAAACATAGTACTAACAATAAGTCAGGCGTTCTCTATTGTGAGAATAAAAATTTACAATCACCCATCCAGATTTCTAATATCGGTATTTATCTAAAATATAATCGTACCACAATTGACATTTCGTGATGACCAATAACATAAAAATAGCTCTGTGGCTATCGATTGTCGTTTGTTTAAAGCCTATTCTAATTACGTAAGTATAGTTGTAAGTGATTTATAATTGTAAGAATAGACCAATTACAGTCTTCTCCAATTATATTCTTCTCATAATCGACAGTGATCAGTCAATTCTTGCAACTATAACCACTTATAACTATACGCTTACGCAATTATAAAATACAGACTTTACTTTACATTTCTAAAAGAAGACTACAGTAAGTTCTGTATCTTCAATCAAATAGTTGTATATGTTCGTTATTATCTCGTGTATTTCGTATACCTTATGCTAATTTACCCCAAAAAATACATAATATAAAGAAATATTTTCTGTTATTGCGTGATTCGAAATGTCATTTTTACTTATTGTTAGAAAATTGGTACCTTAAAGGCACTGCGCGATACAGGGTTAAGAGTGTAAGAAAATGTTAGAGCATCATGAATTCTACATAATGTACATATGAAGGTTTATGATAATATATTGTACTTTTCGTTCACCTTATTCCTCCAACTCGATTACCTCTCACTCGCGTTACATCTGAAAGCTTCATATGGAAACACTTATTGCGATGATAATTGTACGTTTATACCGTGCATTCTGGTAGTGTGTAATCCATTAGCAGATGTAGAATGAAATAAGAGTTAATTACGCTGGACGTGTGTGTGTCTGTGCTGACATGCTCTATTTATATTCCAATAAAAATAATGGAAATCATAGTCGTGCTGCATATCGATGTCTGTTATTACTAGAATTATTATTATTACAGTTATTGTAATTAATTAACGCTAGTACCGTGCACCCGAATATGATCGACAAATTACTAGAGCTTGTAAAGAGAATAAACCAGATTTACATTCGCGCGCTATTGGAAACGTAACAATATCTCGAAACAACATCCAAATGAAAGCTCGATAAAAACTTCCTAGCGTGACGAGCAATAAATTACCGAGGAAATACAAGTCGTTACATATTATGCGAATCTTGTTGATACTAGGAAGATTAAAAAGGGCGATGGCATAGGAAAGGGCACTTTGATAAGATGGAAAAATCCCGGCGAATGCTGCTTGCTTTAATTGCTCGAGTACTCCGTTTATGTATTTTACATTAACTTCAACCTTTCCCCCTGGCTGTTTCAGTGCACCTTTTTGTCCCTCCCTCTCTTATCCTTTTTTTTCCCTTACTACCCTATTTCTCCATGATACTCTATTATTCAAGACAGTTCTTGCGCGCATTTGGCGGATCAAAGAGATAACAGCAGGATATCCAATTTATCTCTTACGCGGGGAAAGCAGGGCCCCGAGACTCTCTGCGATTGTACTTGCAATTAAACGCCCAGTACTCGGCAGCGAATTTTTACGAGATGTGCAGGATTCCCGTTCAACAATTCGCCTAATGTCGACTTTCTTTTTAGCGGAAAGAGGAACGCGTTAGATAATTAGAAGAATTTAACACCTCGAACAACGTTTCTCGTGCGCCTTGAATACGCTTGAAACGGGCCACTAAATTTACGCCGATTCGCATTGCAAATGTCATGTATATTTGATTTACTGATATTCTCTTGAATAGTATAATCGTATCGATGTTTTGCAATTGATGCCGATTCCGTCCGTACGATGCATATTCAATTAGAGTAGATAATTGTGACGATTATAATTCTGAGCACGCAGCTATTATAATTCGTTGGACTATATCCAGGAAAGGACTAAATAAAGAGATTGGCATCTACCCGGGGTAGGATCTACGTAGCGTATAATAATTTTTCGCGCGGTTAAATACCCGAGGTCAAACCCCCTCGAACTTTTCGTCATTTTTTTCGCGCGGCATTTTAATAATCGCAAAACTCGAGCGAAGTTTCGCGATTCGAGCCGCGGTAACTTCCGACCATCGATCTTCGAATTCCGGCTGCGCGCTCGCGATTACGGTGAACGCGGCGCGCAAATATTCCTCGAATGGGTGGCGAACGGTAAAAGCAGTACCCTCCCGTACATCGCACCGCGTCTCGAGAGCACAGAATCGACCGTACAGGAGATCGATGTAAGCCGTGGAAAGAAGGCTGAATTACAGAGTTAGTTACGGACGTGAAGTAGCGAGTCGCGTTGGGGAATTAGCGAATACGTCGCTCGACGAACGCTAGGCAAAGGCGATTTGCAGATTAGTACGGGTCACCGACTGCGCGCATATCGAACTATCGAACGTATCCTCGGAAATAACGTATAGTGCATTGAGCAAAGACTGCTCTTCATCCAAACAATTCGCACGTATAACGCAATGGCGATTACTGAAAGAAATGTTTTATATATGATATGTGTGACTTCCAAAACTTTCTTACACTTTAATTTTTTAATTTTGTTGTTCCAATCGAAACTTGATTAGAATGACAAAATGGTTAATTAGATTGTAGAACGACAAAAACTTTCTTACTACTTAATTACAAACCTTCATTGTTTCAATCAAATTTTGATTAGAGAACAAACAAATTTTTTAATTAAAAAGAAAATTTTTATAAATCATATAGCATAATGCATTTCTCTCAGTGTATGTTACGTGCCATTGCAATATTGTAAAGTAATTATTCTTGCATTTATATTAGACGAAACTAAAAAAACGAAATGTACTGCAGCTTTAACTGATTCGTAATTCTGAAGTTAATCAGTCTTCCCTTCGCGATTTCTGAGAAAGTCTTTCAAACATTCAACTATCGGTTGAATTCCCTATCATTTTACAAGTAATTCCTACGATCGTGTTAAAAAGAGTGAATGAAAAATTTCCACGGACAAGGGTAGTATAATCACTCCTTATCAGTGCTGCACAGTAAATCGAATTGCTTAAAGGAATCAAGGGAGAAGATCGAAAGACCAGACTTACCGGGATAGCAACGCAGTCTTCGAGCTCGGCGAGGGGTGACTCCGAGCAGAAGGTGCCCTCGGTGAGGAAGGGCGGCCGGGGAGGCGGCGGCAACCGGAACTCAGGGGGCGGCCCGGGGCACTCCGGGCACTCCGTGCTCTCCAGCGTCTCCAGCTCCTCCATCCTCCACCTCAGCGTGCTGAAAAATTAAAAGATCACCAATTAATCTTATTGATGGAGACTCATTAATTGTTGAAAATGGGTTTTTTTCGCATAAAATTTCAATCGACACGATATTTGGATTGTGTAATAATATCTGATGTAATTGAAACTATATAAATTTATATTAATATAGATTTTTTATCTCTTAATCGGTATTCGCTCCAAAATTTTCTTGATGGTATTCTAGAATACTTTAAATTAAAGTACCTTTGTTTAAAGTTAACATAACGATTTTAATTTAATTTTAAAAGATAAAATCCGAAAAAAGGAATTGTGTAAAGTCGTAAAAAACATATGTTATAAACAATCTTTCACAACGTAGATGAAGAAAATGTACGGGTATACAAATACCAATTTGGATCTGCAAATACCAATTAGGATTAAATTTACCAGACTTTAAAATAGTAGTTGACTTTTAACAGATCTCACAATGAAAAAAGAATCTGAAAATTTCCATTAGTATGAGCGGCAAACCGGCGCGTTTTTATCAGAGGTGTTTAACTGCCCAATAAAGAATTCTCGCGTCGGAAGGCACGGGCCATCCAGCACGTGATAAGATAAAACTATTCTAGACGGACACACCTGCGCTCGTTTTCAAACCTTTCGTTCCCGTGGACGTATTTTTTCTTTATTTGTAAAATGCAAATTTGTAATTGGCTGACAAGAGATCTATTCTGAATTGCATCAAACTCGTTTAAAACATTTTAGTTTTCCGTCCGCCATAGAGATTCTAACAGAATAATTAATTTAACGAAACTCTCTTCTAATCATATTGTTAAGCAGAGTCTAGAATTCTTAAACGTATAGTTTGCCGAGAGTACCTTCCGTGAATAATTATTCCGATTAAGGTCGTTTTTTGCCTCTATCGAGGGTCAAGCTGATCCAGTTTCGCGAATTCCAGAAGATCAGATACCGTACACCATACCGAAAGAATGCAGAAGAGCGGAGGGTAGATGATAAGAGAAGCACAGTGAGGGCGGGAGAGAGGGTTGCCGCGTGGTCGGTATGCTAATGTCCAGGGACTTAATTAAGGTCTCATAATGAATCAGTCACGGAGCTCGGCGAAGTCGCGCGAGTAGGTGTGCGATTGTGCCGGTTGATTAATTGTCTCGTTCCCCCCACACGCGACGCGGTGCCACCAGTATACGTCGCACAAATAGAGAGAGAGAGAGAGAGAGAGAGTGAGAGAGAAAGGAAAAGAGAGAACAGCACGGTGGTGCGATACGCCCGGCGCATATTCGTCATCCACGATCGCCCGACCGATCGATACTTCCGGCGCGGCGGCTTTCACCGATGATGATTCTCGTCGGTGGATGTGGATACGAACCTAAATACCGAGCACAGTCGGACCACCCGCATTTCAGTCGTGTTAGTGCATGACATTATTTGCTCCAGAAAAACGGTATGTAGAGACGGATTCTTGGAGGGAGAGGTAAAAAAGAAGAAAGCACCGAAGGAAATGGAAAAACCATAAATAGACCGAGAAGGGGAAGTACAAGTGAGATAAAAAGATCCGAAGGGAAAAAACTGGAGACAATAGAAAAATAAGGATGAAAAGTAAAAAGATTGCAAAATATGACAAAATGGACAATATGAAAAAAAAAGGAGCACACCAAATATAAGAAAAAAATCGTAAAAAAAAAAGGTATATGAGGTTGTTCGAGAAGAATGGCACGAATAAGATCAAGGGAAACAGAAATGTGCGAAAAATTCGAGCAAAGCGGCAACTATTGACAATAGCCAGAGGAAACACGCTCGAGAGAAAGAGCGAAAGATGGAGAGTAAAGTGGAGATAAAAGGGACCGAAAGAAAGCGAGAGGAAGAAATAAAGCGGACGGCGAAGAAGCGACTCGCAGTGATGAAGAGCGTATCGGGGCACTATTTCACACATACCGACCTCATTCCAGGGAGGTAGTAGCGGCGGCCAGGAATTACGAACGGCAGGAGGGTTGAAGAAAAGAGTGGCGAGAGGAGAAGTCGAGGGCGGGGAGGGGGGGGGGCGAGGGATCGCTCGAGCGAAAGCCCGTAGTTTCCGCGGGGTGAAAGGCGAACGAAGACGGGGATGTAGAGGGGGCGGGGGAGGGAGGGAGGCGGTATGCACGTCTGCGCTCAGTTTAATAAATGCAGTCTTCCTTCCGTTCCGTTTCTTGGCACGACTTGGCTTCGGCGACGAGGAACTGTATAACCCCTTCCCTCCCCCACGGTTCTCCTTTCGCGTCACCCTTCCGCCCTTCGTGCCGCGCGTTTCCCTCATTCGCATGCAGAGACCAGCCGAGCGAACAGGCGAGCTCAATGCTCATCTCGTTTCCGGCTGTGCGTAGTCCAAATCTACGATTCGCGTGATTTTTATTTAATTCCCACCCGTGCACGTCAATCGACGTTCCCTTCTTCCAGAGAGAATTTCCCGGAATGTCTAGCCTCTCTCGATCGCATCGCTTGTGTGGGAGCTCGCACGATCGAATCGCGGTTATTACGCGCGAATGTATGGCTTGTATGCAGATGCAATGCGACTGTCGTTTTTTTAGAATTGAACTATTTTTTCATGAATTTCCGATTATCCTTTGCGACAGTGATAATAATTTAAAATTGTATATATGGTATAGGAAAGTACCTCTTTTTTTAAAGAAAAGCAAATAAAGAAATTAATACTTAATGAAAATAAATACGAAAATTAGTAGAAAAAAAAATATATATAACAGTTTTTATTATCAAGAGAGAGAGAGAGAGGGGGGGAGGGAGAAGTATTAAAAATATATAAAGAAGAATAGTATTTTAACTTATAAGTACTAGTGAGAATAATATCAAAATAATATCAAAACGTTATCATTTACATGAGAATAATATAAAAAATTATAAGCTGAAATAATGGATTTCAGTTTAAAACTCGGCGAAAAAGACGTCCGGTGATAAAACATTATTTTTTTACGAGATTTGTCTCGAACTTGACTTTTCATTTAGATGTGTATTTTTGATTTAATTAAGATGAATTCAGTGGTTAAGGCGAAATGGAGACGCACGGCTGTAAAGTTACGCGAGTGTGGTTGTCGTACTTTGAAGTGAAGATGAAGTGGAAGATAATACCCGGAACGGTATGATGAATCACAAGTAGAAACAGAGTTTCAAATTAAATTGTTCAGTTTCGTATTAATTGCTGCCAGTCCAGTGTAGTATTAATTTAAATAAAACAGAGCAGAAAAGAGTGGTGGGATACTCGTAACAAACTAGGAATTTATAAAGTTATATAATTAATTATCGCATGCGCATTTTCATGAAAACTTCTTTCATGCTTTAGATTATTTATCAGAACACAAAATGCACATAATATTGCAAAGCTACGTAAAATTGCAACAATATTCAACCGTGTGTGATTAATTTTTACGAGTCAAAAATTAATTAAACGGTATTTTTTTATTTATTCCATATACAAATGTAAATACTCCAAATTATTAATGCACATTTGCATTTTGCTGGAATGTGATTTTAAATATAATTTCAATGTATAATTTTAAATTTAATTTTATCCTGCTGTAGACAGAATATAAAATTGTGAATTGAGCAAGCGGAATCGATACAATCGTCGCGCGAGTCAAAAGTCGCATTCGTTGCAAGCACAGCTACCCTCGAGCTTGCGAGAGCAACAAAGAGAGAAGGATAGGCGAACAGAAGGGATAGAGCAAGAAAACGAGTAAACCAACGGGGGACACCGCAAAGTGGTTGGGATGCTTTTTCCGAGTGGCCGAGCGAGCGAATCGACTGTTGGGGGACGGGATTGGCCGCGGCTCTTTTCGGCGCACCGGAATTGTCGAGGGATTTATCGAGCGGCGTTCCTCACCAATTGGACCTCGTCCGAGTCCTCGAGAAGCTATCGAGTTAGAAGAAACGACCCGGCGAGACGAGAAACGGCGTGGTTAGGATTATTGGTGTATGATCGATTGTATTAAATGCGCGGGCTTTACTTGGAGGGTTTCCTTTGGCCCAAAGTAAATTGTCAAAGATGATACGATCAAACTGATATATATTTCGTCGTAGAAACAGCACATTGTGTCGATAAATCTTGAATCCTAAGGTCGATATTGAATAGTTGGTTTTTATATTTAAGTCCGTCTCTTAAAATGTCAATCAGAGCATTATTATCTTACGACTTAAAACGATACGAAAACGGATTATGAATACCGAGATGAATATCAGCCTAGAATTGTTTTAGTCATTTAAAAAACAAGTTTAATATTTAAAAATTCTAAACTGAAAGAGATGAAATAAATGTATTTCATGCGAAATCAACGATAGAGAGAGAGAGAGAGAGAGAGGGGGGAGAGAAGAAAGAAAAGGAAAAAGACATAGAGAGTGATATTTTAAGCAATACGAAGGAAATGAACAAACGAACAAATCCAATCTGGTAATTTCTCTCTCGTTCTCCCCGCCTCTTTTTTTTTTTGTTGAAATAAAAACACGTTGATCCCAGATTGCGCGCGGTGGGTAAGGGTTAAATTCCGTCCAGCGACGCGGGAGGAGAATTAATCCCTTTCTACCGTATGCGGAGTGCGCGGCTATGTTGACCATGCCACGTTTTAATTAGGCAAATTTTCGTCCCGCGGCCATTTGTCACGATAAAGCCTCTTCGTCGTCCGCGACATCCATTGCGCTCTCTTTCACCGTCCTGAAAAATCCCCGAGTGACCCGGTCACGTACTCGCGCACCGATATTTATCATTTCCTCCAGTGCGAGCTTTTCGGCTTGGCAGGCGACACTTTTTTTTCTCGTCTTCTACAGGCCTGCGAAAGGCAATGGGAAATTATGATCATTGTGTAACACCACAAACCACTTCGGACGCTTACAATTTTTTCACGAAGTATAACCGCACGGCTTTTTCATTTTTTTGTCCTATTTCGGATATGACGATGATTAGGTCAATAAAAATTAGCCACTTAGATCACATTCTTCTAGAACGAATTTCTGGTTTCCTATGAATGCTCTATA